ATCTCGAAATTACTTTGCATTAATTCGAAAGTATTTAAAAGTTCCAATGGGAAGCGAAATGGGATAGAATGAATGAGAATCAATCTCATTCTTTTTAACTGCTAGAGCTCTATTATAATAATTTCATCAGTATGATAAAAATTCGACAGCGTACCGCCATGATTAATTCTTACCGTTACGCTGGTTCAACATCTGTCTTTCTAAAAGAGCACTGTTTGTATCTTATGTACTGCTCTTGTTTACCTAGATGTTTGTACTTTTTCCTCTATTTACCGAAAAATAACGTATCGATCTATCACATTTTTACTACATTTCACTTAAACGAATCATGTTTTGCCTGCAATGGCTAGATACCTTCTTTGCGTTTGTATTTGATGAAGTATCCTTAGAGGATAGATGTGCTCTCTATTTGAACAGATATTTAACAGCACTCTCAGATTCTATCAATGACGAATTACTACTTGAACACGCGAACTTAAATGTGTACAGAAATGCTTGGCACAATGGGAAGAATTCTATCAATGGTATGTTTAGATCATAAAGATTTATGGAGTATACATCGGTGCTAAAAAAAATGTATAAATTGATTTGCCAGTACTTCCTCTCGTTGTTCGATCTTAGAGTATGACTTGTCTGATATTCTACTTCTTGAAAATTTTCCGAAAATATTTTAAACTAATGGATCTTATATACTTATATTTTTGTATCTATTTTGATCTTTAATTGAAAGTTGAAAATCTGTAATATAAATTACGCCAGTGTTATCGATTAGGATCACCCCCTCGTTTGGATACAGTTACTCAAAGTTTTTAAGAAATTGAAGTAGACAAACTGCCTTTTATGCACCTGAGTAAGTGATTTTCGCTAGCTTCTGAGGAACTCTGTTATTCAGAAAAAAATTTTAGTCAAAAAATGCGTTTACTCAATGAAAAACTTTAGTTACTCAGCAGGCTCGCGACCCCTCCCCCTTTTTATCAGTTTATTTCAATAAAAAAATAGTTTCAAACAAACATAAAATGATGTGAGAAGAGAAAAACACTAATTTTTTGTGAACAATCTGAAGAAAACAGATTAGAAAATACAGTATATTATGTCATAAAAGATTTCATCCGAGGTATGATGCGAGTATCCAAATTATACTTTCTTCTTTAAACTCGTTCTATATATTTTTCTGCTCCATGTCATAAACGTAAAAAAAATTGTACTTAGTGTTAATAAACCCAATATTGTATGTTCTGTGTCTGGTATAACTGGATGATCGCGAAATTTTGGCAATATTCGATGATGATGCGCATGATACTTATTATAATCATCCAATTTCTCACCGTCATTCATATGCCATAAGCCAATTTGAAAGAAATATGGAATCCACCATGTAAATAGTTGACCTAAGGTAAATAATAACAAATAGGGTATGTAAAGAAACATGGCCCAATTAATTTGATGATAATACGAATAGGCAGCAAATAAATGGGGAATTGAATTACATTGAACAATAAAAAAATATTCATTACGACCAAATAATTTAGCATGATGATCATGAGTGGTGAAATTATCGATATCAACTTGCCATACGATATATTCATAAAAAAACAATATCAATTGAAATAAAATAGTGAATTGTTGAAGTGTAATCATTCTGTTATATATTACCTACAAATAAACAACATTTTCTTTTACATTTGACACTTTTATGAGTTAGTATAACCTTGGGAAGGTATGATAATAATGTAATGTCATATCTTACGTTACATTTCTTATTATTTAAGATTACATAAATTTCTTCATTTTAATAAACGACTTGAAAAAGATTTTAAGAAAGTTTCATCTGTCGATTCATATATGATGAAGATTATAGGATAGAATTGCTTGATAGGATTCCTCTTTGTATATTCAAGGATACCAGTTGTAAATAACGTATAGACATTATGAACGTGTAATACCATGAAAAATAGATCACTAAGAAGAAGGGCAAATATGTTTCTTTTATTTGCTGAAATAAAGCTCTCAATTTCTCATACCAGTAGCGCATGTCAGTTAGTGAACAGAGAAAATTTAAGCGATTCATGTTATTACTGAAAATGTATTACATGTTTCTTTAGTGTATAGCCTAACTAAAATTCTTCTACAAGCCATTGATCCAATTTTTGACATACTTTAGCATGGTCTACATTCCCGAAAAGTTAACAGACAGTTTTATAAAAGTCATCGAACAGTTCTTTTTATACTTCACTCTGCCGGCCATTGATATCCAAAATGCTTAGAATACGAGATATAAGTCTACTGATCTAACGGTCAAGAAAAAAAAAGTGCTTCCTTTCGTGATTCTTAGACGTTTTTTTGGGGCAGTTTTATTTTGCTTTAAATACATTGCAAAAGAATTCTAATCAATAATTATCTATTCAAAATAAAATTGAGCTTGTAATGGGCTAAATGCACTTGGACTACACTTAGACTACATTAGTGATTTGAATAAATAAGGTTAAAGCACTAATGTAGTCGAAGTGTAGTCCAAGTGCATTTAGC